TTTAAATATACAGTTTTTACTGTAACTTTTTTCCACCTTTCTTCCCCCAGCCTTATACAGTTGATTATTTCTTTATTCCACTGCAAACAAAGCAGTACTTAGCAATAATTAATTCTAGGCAACCACATCAAAGAAGCCATATTACCATCTCCCCTTAAGAGCTAATTACTAAATAGTTGGTAAAGGCATAATAATATTTTTGTGTTATTGTTCTGGTTTTACAGATGTTTTTATTTTCCCACATACCCTTGTGTGGTTCAATTATATTTATCACAGTGCTGAAAATTAAGTGATTCTAAGTTCCTTCTGCTATTGGATGGAATTGGTATATGATTGCACAAACCATTCTACACGATGTCCCAAAAGTCTCCATACATAGGGAAAATGGGAAATTGTAGCTAAATGTACCTTTATTTATAAAATTTTCATTATAACATCTTACAAAATTTTTCCTTTGTAGTCTCCATACAAGGAAAAATTTTGTAATGAATATTTTAGCTACAATTTCCCATTTTCCCTATGTATGGTGACTTTTGGGACACCCCATATATTTTGCAAGCTAGGATAAATCCTCAAATGCTTTTCTTCATGACCTTAGGGTCCATCTATCCTTAAAACGTATGAGTTTTTCATATATCTTTGTATGGATTAGGATCCTATGTTGCAAATAACTCAAAATAGCTTAAACAATAAAGAAAAATATTGGTTTATATAACAGAAAATCCAGAGGTAGTTGAACTCAGGTAATGCCTGATCCAGCAAAAAAATAAATATCTTGTAGGAGAAAAATATCATAGAAAGTATCAGAACATTCATTAATAAAAATATTAGGTTAGGTTTTAAGATTTTATAATTTTTGTTATATTTGTCAGCTGCTGAGGATGGATGTGTGTTCACATTTGTGCATTTTAATTGGTTTCAGGTTTTGCGTGTGCCTCTGCTTTCATGTTATGATCTTCTAAAAATATTTTCAACATTATTTTTTTTTTAAATTGGCAAGTAAAGCTGCATTTATTTATCACATATAACACATTGTTTCGAGATATGTACACATTGTAGAATGGCTAAATTGAGCTAATTGACATATGCATTACTTCTATACATATTTGTCAGTTTTTAAAAATTTATAATACAGGCCGGGGACGGTGGCTCACGCCTGTAATCCTAGCACTCTGGGAAGCTGAGGCAGGTGGATCGCTCAAAGGTCTGTAGTTTGAAACTAGCCTGAGCAAGAGTGAGACCCCGTCTCTACTAAAAATAGAAAGAAATTAATTGGCCAACTAAAAATTAGCCGGGCATGGTTGGCACATGCCTGTAGTCCCAGCTACTTGGGAGGCTGGGGCAGGAGGATCGCTTGAGCCCAGGAGTTTGAGGTTGCTGTGAGCTAGGCTGATGCCATGGTACTCTAGCCTGGGCAACAGTGAGACTCTGTCTCAAAAAAAAGATTGTAATACAGTATAATTTCTTTTCTTATTCTAAATAATTTTGTAATTTTTAATCTTCTAAAGTGGTTTCCCCAAATTGTGTAAATCTTATGTCTCACAAAACCTGGATCTGTCTGCTAAAGTGAGGAGACAGAGGGAAATATTTTATGAAAATAAGGGAGAAAGGACATCTAACGGCAAAAACAAGACAAGACCACTAAAATTTTAAACCTGTTCTCAGCTTTCTTTGCTTTGAATTCTGCCTATATAAGTCTGATAAATATTTTTATTGGTAATGAAACAATTTAAAGGCAGGGATTATATGTTAAACTTCTCTGGTTGTGCCCCCAGTGATATGCAAAGTAACATCTATGGAAAAACATGCTAATTTAGCAATACTTCTTTTCAGGACTGTGATTCCAAATAGATCATCCAGTTGTCCCCAGTATATGAGGGAGGACTGGTTCCAGGACCACTTCCCCCTTATACCAACATCCATGCATACTCCAGTCCCACGGTTGGAACCCCCCTTCCCATATAAATACTCAGCCCTCAGTATTCACAGATTTTGTATCCCCCAATACTGTATTTTCAATCTGCATTTGGTTGGAAACAAATCCACATATAAGTGGACCTGTGCAGTTTAGACCTGTGTTATTCATGAGTCAACTGTACTTTCTTTTTACTTGAACACACCTGAGAGTTTCATGGAGGAGTCCAAATTCCATGGAGGAGTTACATCATAAAATTCAAAAGACCCTATAAGGACATATTATTACAACAATAGCAAAACATGTTTATAGAACAAGACAATGACCTAAGTCTTGGCCATTGACCCACTTATTTCAAATAATTATCTATTTACTATGTATCTAGTATTTGCTGAAATAAAACTTTAACTACAATAACAATTTCGGGAGAGTCCATGGTGGTGGGGGTGTGAAAGGTCAAAGGCTTCTTCAAATCAGTCCAGAATGTTAAAATGTCATATTTTGGGGGTAAAAAATATTTCTAGTTTCCTTCAGCTACATGAAGCCTCTTTTATAATAGCATTAACATCATTCATGAGGGAAGCACCCTCATGATCTAAAAGACCTCTTAAATGCCCCAGTTCTTCATACTATCACATGGGCCATTAAGTTTCAACACATGAATTTTGGAGGGGACACATTCAAACTATAGTACCAGCTACAGAGCCTGTTTGGCATGGTCACTTATCCAAGTACGGTGACCTTCCACTACATCATCCTCATTCCTTCTTCTCTGGAGCACCTGTTACAGGGTATGACGCTAGGTGCTGGGGATGCCAAATTGAGAAGATGAGACTCCTATCCTCTGGAGTCTGGCTGCTGCTAGAGATGAGTCAGCTCCCTGCTGGAAAGAGAGTTGGAGGCAAGAGGATGAAGGGTACCGGGCAGTGGGGATCAGGGCAACTTTCCTGGGAGAGGCACAGCACTGAAGCTAAACTAGAAATGACGAGTAAGTCCTTGTTAGAAAGAAAGGGAGGGCCAGCACTGTCAGGAGAAAATACTTTATCCTTAAGCAGGACATTTAGGGTGCCATGTCAGTTGTCTGTAGCAGACTGGCAGACAAAAACTTTTGAGCATAGGGGACTTTCAGCTCATTTTGGATAACATCATTTGTCATTGCCCCATTCAGATCTGTGCCACTTTGTCAGGGTCATAGGCTCCTTCTAAATTGCTGCTCTGCCATCCCCTATGTGGTCTTTATTCGAGGGATTGCATTATGAAAGAAGATTGAAGCTGGCAGACACATAGCAGGGCATGCCATAACTTCTTTAGTTGTTTTATACTTGGATTTCCTACCCACATTATGGAGTGGGAGAGTGGAATCCCTACTCCAGTCAAAAGTAGGCTGTCAAAAGAGTCAGTAACACACCCAAGTTTCAGAGGTGAAACACAAGAGCAAATTTAAATCATTGCTCTAAAAAGAAAAAATTCCATTATGGCTACTACTTGGGCTGAGGGCTCCCTGGAGCAGGGACAGGTTACTTCCAGATGGTTTCAATGCATTATATTCTGCAACTTTCTGCTTCACACCCCAGCCCCTTAAGAAACACTTAACACTTAAGAAACACTTCACACTCCAGCCCCTTCTTCTTTGGAAGAAGAACTAGGAAAATCTCTTTTGCCTTCCTCAGACCTGTCCTTATTTTTTGGCTACTTTGGTCATAGTCATTGTGACAGGCAGCTGCCTCTGAGGTGTCATTGTTCTCCTTCAGCTCACTCACAGACCTGTAAACACACATTCACACAGACACACACATACACACATCTTGCACCTCTTTCCTGATGCTGGTGAAATACACCTTCTGCTGCATTCTTTACATTTCTAACGCCATGTTGTATCATTCAAGATTCCCAGCCAAAAATTTTATCCATTTCATGCTTTTATAAAGAGAGCAACAGCAGTTATTCCAAATCTTTTGCACATTCCGCAAATTTCCTGTTTCTTTTCTTTTTTGTTCCTAGTGTAGTAAGAGGGAGAATATTTTATTCACTGAATCTTCCTTAACATGCTACACTTGTTCAGGAACCAATATTTTTAAAGCTGTTCCAGGTAGAGCCCTTAGCAGGTGTGTAAGTGAAACGCACCAGATAAAGATAAAGACTGTGATAAAGACCAGATAAAGACTGTGCTGTCCAGCATGAGAAACTTGCGTCAGTTCTGAAAGATAGCGTGAGCGCAGGTGGGGAGAGAAGACTGAAGGAGGAGGAAAGAGAGGAGCCACAGAGGCCAGACCACCATCATCTCAGTCGCCCAGGCTTCTAACCTCAGGGACTCCTCACCTCCTCACATTTCCTTGTCCTCCCCAGGCAGTAAGTTGCCAAAGCCTGACTTTCTTCTTTTCCACCACTTGAGTGAATCCCCTTGGTGCCGTGTCTACTATCACCTCTCTAACCTAGATCCTGAACACCCACCTCCCAGCTGAACTTTCTACCATCAACTTCTCCCTCTCCTCCACCCTCTGCCACACCCCCATTATCAAACCAATCTTCCTACAACAAACTTTGTTTATCACTCTGGACAAAGCCTTCCGTGGCTCCCCAGGGCCCATTAACTAAAGCTCAGCAGTCTTGGCTTAGGATTCAAGCCTCCATGCATTGTGGCTTCAACTTATCCTTCCTGGCCTATCTTCATAGCAGTAGCTTTTATCGAGCACTTCTTACAAGCCAGGTACTCTATTAAAAGCTTCTTAATGTAATTTGTGCATTTAGTATCCCCTTCCGGGAAGGCGCATCCTCCCCCGACTTTCTGTTGGGCTGTTCTTGATGACCATGTGACGGAGGCCAGCCAATCAGAGTATTCCATGCCCCTAGCCAATCAGAGCGCTCTGCTCTCTCCCACCCCACCCCTACCCTCAGCTTTCCTGAGGAAAACGCCTACAAGTGAGAGAGTGAGTTTCTCTCCTTCGGAGTTTGAAATCTACACAGAGAGGCCGAGAGGAGAGGACATGGAGAATGCGGGAGAAAAGGAGACCTGATGACATTGTCCCTCTGGATCCCACCGCTCATGCACTAGCTCCGCCTCTGGACTTCCCCACAGTGAGTCAAGATCGTCCATTTCTTCCCTCAGTTTGTTTGAGTTAAGTCTTCTGTTTCTTGCAGCTGAAATGGTGGACTCTTACTGTCATCGTTTTGATGGGGAAGTGACACCTGAGAGATGAGCGACCTGCCCAAGGTCTTGCAGTTTTTAAGTGGCGGTGATGGAGCTGCATCCCACGGCGCCCAGGAGGACGTACCCCCAGTTCTTCCGGTGTGCCAGGCCCGGGGCTGAGCCGCACGCCGGCCCGCGGCTCATCCGCTGCCGCCTCTCACTGGCCCTGGGCTCTCCCACATCTGAATCTCTACCTGGAACACACTCCGTGCCCCGCCTCTGTCTGGCAGCATTTACTTACCTTTCGAATCTTGGATCCATGGCACATCCTTCTGGAAGCCTTCGATACCACACCCAGAAGCAAGTACTTCCTCCCTGGAGTTTTCAAGCCTTTGATGTGAACACCTGGCCAGGTGGCTGTCTTTGAGGGCTCATGGCACAGGCACTTGTAGGCATTTCTTAGGGAGGTTGGGGGACTGTTGGTTTGAAGTCACCAGATTTAGGTTCTGGTCATTTCATTGGCATATCTGCAAAACACCACACTTTTTGATAACAAATAGTGCCAGTTTCATGGTTATTAGCAATGGCTTTGAGGTAAGATGGCTGGGTTTGAATCTAGCTCTGCAACACACGAGCGTGGGTGATATTTGGCAGATTACTCATTTTTCTTATTCTAGTATGAGGATGAGAGCAGTATTGATCTTAGTTGAGAGAAGTAAATGAGATAATAAATGTTAAGGGTTCATCACAGTGTCTGGCACCGTATATATAATTATTATTATTTTAAGGTAGGGATTATATGTTAAGCCCATTAAATGAAAAACCAAATCTTACAAATATCCACTCCTTTAAACGCTCTTTCTAGTGTATAACAACTGACCAATTGCAGTTGATTGAGGAAGCTAAAGAGAGTTGGAAGCAGCAGGATAGAAGGGAGGGAGAGAGGTGAGAGTCAGAAAATAAACACCCTTTTTAAGAAAGGCTGTCACAAGAGCAGTGCAGGTATTTAGGGGAGCAGAAACCAGGATTAGCTTTGTTCCTTAGATGGCCCACACTTCATCCCTTACTTTGTCTTTTCTCAGTGGACACTAGATGAGATGGTAAATGATATGGGCTGCATCGTTCATTTAGGAATTGTTCAGCATTCTCAGCTCAATTCTCGTCCTGTAAGTGGACTTGAGGCCACAGTGGTGCTACAATGGTTGTGGTAGCAGCAGCTGCAGCCACTTCCCGACCCCCAGATTGAAACTATCGTTTGGATGACCTTATTGTGTTTCTAAAGGGCAAGCGTATTGTTGGCAGGCTCCTCTATGGTTGTGTGACCTTGACGCCAGTACTCATGTTGTGTCTCCTGACTTCTCCAGCAATATTGAAAGCATACAGTTCCCTTTCTTATATCTCTCTCTGCGTGAAATACCTAGAGGAGTTTCTGTTTCCAGCACTTAGCTCTGACAAATATACACGGTATATACAAACAAACATATTAAAATTAGTTTTAAAAATGTGAGTCCATTTAAAGTTTATTAAAAACCATATTTAGAAAATTATAGAGATATGGCAGTTATCATGAAGATGACCATTACTGGCTGGGTGCTGAAGTATGGGGATCACTGGTCTCATTTAATATTCATAACCAGGTAGGCACTATTATTAACTTCAAGAGAAAACTTAGAGAGGTTAAATGACTTGCACAGGGTCACATAGGTGGTAAGTGGTGAGTCTGACTCCACAGTTCACTCTTTTGAATTAGAGATGGGAGTCAGAACTTTATCAAACATCAAGTGGCACCTGTACTGAGACTGAAGGTTTAGTAGGGTTTAGCCAGTAAGGTGGGTGGGGTTTCGAGGTCGATGTAACAGCACGGGCAAAGGTGTGGTGGTGCCAGTGAGCACCATGCATCATGGGAACCGATGGAGCACTACAATTCTGGAGCAAGGGGGTTACATGGGAATGTGACTGGAGGCGATACCTGAGAAGTAAACAGGAATCCAGTCTTAGGATGCCTTAGTGGCCATGAAGAGGAGGTGAAACTTAATTCTGAAAGCCAAGGACCCATGGAAGGATTTTATCAATGGGGTGACCTATTTACACGGGAATTTAAAGAGGTTACTCTAGTGACCTGAAGCATGACCAGATGAATTTGTCCAGTAGAGAGTGGAGAGTAAGATCTAAGCTAACAAGAGAGGGGTGGCCTCGAGGGGCCTGTAGGTGTGTGATGAGAACTGAAACAGTCTACCTTGACATGGTTCACTGTCTACATGGACATAATTTTACTATTCCACTGTCTTCATTAACATGACTTTTCTTTTTTTTTTTTTTTTTTTTTGAGACACAGTCTCGCTTTGTTGTCCAGGCTAGAGTGAGTGCCGTGGCATCAGCCTAGCTCACAGCAACCTCAATCTCCTGGGCTCAAGCAATCCTACTGCCTCAGCCTCCCGAGTAGCTGGGATTACAGGCATGTGCCACCATGCCCAGCTAATTTTTTTTGTATATATATTAGTTGGCCAATTAATTTCTTTCTATTTATAGTAGAGACGGGGTCTCGCTCTTGCTCAGGCTGGTCCCGCCTCGGCCTCCCAGAGTGCTAGGATTACAGGCGTGAGCCACCGCGCCCGGCCAACATGACTTTTCTATTCCAGGAAACCCTTGCCCAGGAATATAAAAGTTACAAATAGCTTGTGGTTCATTTCACGAACTTCTCAAACTCATTTAAATGAACATCAGACTGTTCAACTTTTCAATAAAGAGCGTGAAATAAGTTTACTCTCGAGGATTCTTTGAACCCCTCACTTCTAAATCCTCACCTTGCTCTGTCCTCCGATCCTAAACTCTTATATCAGGAGTCAAGTCCCTCCATTGAAAGACCTGCCTGAAACCAGATTCCCAAACCTCATCTGTCTTTGCCCTCCCCTCTCTGAGCACTATGAACACTCTGGCAAGGTGGTGCTCTCTCTTACTGCTATGAGGCTTGGCCTTGTCAAGTCGTTTTGCTGGTGATATTTCCTGGAATCTGGCTCTGGAGAATCTGCTCGATCAAGAGGAGGAGGTGGGGATGGTGTTGTGTGCCTGTAGTCCCAGCTACTTGGGAGGCTGAGGTGGGAGGATCACTTGAGCCCAGGAGTTCAAGTCCAGCATGGGCAACATAGTGAGACCCTGTCTCTAATAATAAAAAAAAAAAAAAAATGGAGGGAGAGACACAGAGAGAGAGAGTGCATAGAGGAAGAAGAGATAAATGAAGTCCAGGAATAAGAAATGCGAGAAACAACAACATTCAAAGGCAGTGGAGGAGCCAAGGTATTTTTCCCACAGAGAATCCAGTGTTAGCATACATTCCATCTAGATTCATAGGCCCTGGGAAGTAGGCCTTTGAGAGAGGGAGAGGAGGTAATTTGGAGCCAGGAGATTTCAGGTGGGAAGAGCACAGTGCTAGGTGAGGGTGGGGGTGGCAATTAGAAAGCAGCCCCAGCCTAGAGCATAGCGTGCAGAGGGCATGAGGTAGCTGGAATTGGTGAGCAGCATGGGAGGGGGAGTGGGAGGATGCTAAGACAAACTTTACCCTGGAATTTCCTTAAGCAGGTCCTGACTGGACTCTCTGGAGGAAGGACTTTGGTTTTGTAGCTATAGCAGACTGTCTGGATCATGGGGAAGACAAGGGGGAGCAAAGCCTGTGACAATGGCTGCTAGAATATTCTGGCAGGAACTTAGTGAGCTGCCATCCCTCCCTTCCCCCACCACACCAAATCCCCTTCCTGCTTTGTTGGTGATTTCTTAGCCATGGTGAGATCATCTGTTTCTAGTGCATTTACAACTAACCTTATAATCTGATATACACTTATCATATTATAAGTATACCTCTGGGTCACTCTTTGCCCATCAATGAACTTAGCCATGATGCTTGCTCTCTGTTGTCTTTCCACTTTGTGTATACCTTGTACGGACTTAGATGTGGTTCCAAGGACACTTTGAACAGAAAGGCCAGGCTGAGATGAAGGTTGTGGCTTAGAGACCACTGGGCCACAGGACGTCAGAATATTCACTCACATGCCAGGGATTCTAAGTCACCCAATTTGACAACTGTTCCTTCTAGATTTAGAAGGATGCACAGTGTTTTCTCTTAGGCCCTTTTTCTTCCCTCCCTATCCCCCTACCTCCCTTCTACTTACTGGCAGAAATGTATCTGCCCTGTATTTGTGTTAAGATGACCTTACTGTGTTTCTAAGGGGAAAGTGTGTTGTTGGCAGGCTTCTCTCTAGGAGATCTCAAGACTTGCTTGAGTGATTGGTAGGGTTCGAGCCAGGCCCTAGTCTTCTTCCATTCACTTGTGGAGAAACTGGTGCTCTTAAGAAATTGCTTATATCTTGTTTTATTATTCCCTATGCTTGGACTATGTCCAGCCACTCATTCAATACATATTTATAGATAATAGTGATAACAGACTATACATATATATGTATACATATATATATTCAGGCAGAAGAAAAATAAAAAGGGCAGCATGGTAAGGGGCCAGAGAGCAATGAGGATTGATATTTTAGGAGGAGCAGAGAAATCTTGTCAGAAGAGGCAACGGCCTGATTGAAGAGAGGAAATGAACCAAATGGCTCTCTGGGGCCACATTTTCAGGCAGAGAGAATAGCAAGTGTAAATGTCCAGAGACTGGGGTGTATTTGCTGTGTTTGAGCATAAGCAAGGAGGCCAGTGTGGTGAGAATAGAGAAGTAGTAGAGAAAGAGTGCTAGGGGGTGAGTCAGAGGAGCAGCCAGAGCCATGGAAGGATTTTGAATTTTATTCTAAGCATGATAGGAAGCTGCTGCGTAAGGGAGTGACTTGATCTGGGTTATATTTCTACAGAGCACTTCCCTGCTGTGTGGGGTGAGGGAGGCAGCAAGGAGAGCCGTTAGGAGACTGTTGCTAATTCAGTCAAGAGATGATAGTTGTTTGGGCAAGAAGCTTAGCAGTGGGGGTGAAGTATAATAGAATCAGGCTCTCTTGTACAGGAAGAGCAACTAGAATTCTCTGATGGAAAAAGATGTGGAGTGTGAAAGCAAAAGAGGAGTAAAAGAAGATACCAAGAGTTTTGGCCTAAGCAACTGGGTGACAGTGGTGCCATTTACTGAGATGAGAAGTGCTGGAGAGGAGGGTAGCTGTGGCAACAGGTGGCTTTTAGACATGTGATGGAGATATGGAGAGGGTGGTGGTATTAATGAGTCTATGGTGCTGGGGTGAGATCAGGTTGGACATATAAATCTGGGAGTCATCAGGGTATGTTTTGAAAGCCATAAAGCTATCTGTAAAGAGCCAGATAGTGTTTTAGACTTTGTGGGTCATACAGTCTGTCACAGCCAGTTAACTCTGCTATTG